TGCACACTAGTAAGTGACTACAGTGCTCCTCAGACGCTGAAAGCAACCTCTGGATCTGTCATGCTGTCTTTAAATAGGCAATTAAAGTGAAAAATGAGAGTGCACATAACTTTCCAGTGCCACATATTATATATAAATAATACAACACAAATAAGAACAGGACAGAAGTTCTCAAACCAAACACTTGATCAACTTAGTCATGCCTTCATCTGTTTATTTGAAAATATATTACTTTGCTACACTTGTGGTCCTTATTACAGTAAATTTACTGCCTTAAGAAGAGATTTCCCTTGCCAGAAATTAAAAAGACTTTCCATTCCTCTGCTCCCAAAATAATCTTTATTAACCAAGGTTGGATGGTAGCAAACTTGCTAGGATATCCACGAGGTAGCAGACAGATGCAAACAACTGGTATGTTCCTTTGTTCCTCAGCGGGGCAATCTGGTTGACCAGAACTTGCCTGAGGTTGTCCCAAAGCTTGCTTTTTTGCTTTACACCAATTGATAGTACTTTAAACCAAGTGCAGAATTTGTGAAATTCTTTACTTAAATAAAAGAATCATTTACTGTGTTCTCAGTGAGAAGCTGATGGCCTGTGACAAACAACATCAGAGATCCCTTCCTGTGCTTACAAGATGTGAGAGCTCTCTGTGCGCCATCCTGTATTCTCATCACTTTCACAAACCCCCTCACTCTGTCAAGCCAGCACAACCAGCACTTTCTCTCATCAGAGAAATTCAAGCTGTGGCCTTTTCTGGTCCCATTGGAAGCAGTGCAAATAGAGGTACAGCCCAGTTCACATGGGTCTCCCCAGACACCCAGCACAGCTGAACAGGCCACCAGCTACAGTCTGCAGTTGCCTCTGGCAGAAGAGATGGCACCTATCAACCAGTTTTTAAGCCATCTCTCATGCACCCACACCTCCAAAAACCCAACTAAAACTCCAGCAGCAATATGAAGCAGGGAGCTGTGTAGGAGGATATAACCATAATTCATGAAGAGAATATTACTTGTGCACTGTGATTGCAGAAATCCTCATAATATTCTCATTAGCTCATATCTCAATATAAAAAGTAACGCTGTAAATCAGATACTTAATTTCTATTCAAACGGAACATAATTGCTGGTAACTGGCTGCAGAGCTACAAATGTCAAAAAGACGCCTTGTGATATTTCAGATGTAGTGAACAGCAAGTACACTTCATTGCCATGATGCCTTTCCACCTGTTATGTTAATTAGTTTTTATTTGAAACATACTGCTGCAACCAATGCAACAATTAATGGTTACTTTTAATAGGTAAAATCCCCATTAATCAAATCAACAGGAGATCAGCAGAGTGCTAGAAAGGTCTCATGGAGAAAAAGAAAAAAGAGAGTCTGCTGCTACTTTTATTTTACTTTTTAAATTGAGATGCATTATATTTTTAAGCATCTGGAATGTTAACATCTTGACTGAAACTTCTAAGTGCAAATATACTTAATGAAGCTTGAAATAGAGAAAAATTAGAATGCCATTTTCACGGAATTTCCCAACATTTAAGTGAAATAAAATAATCTCATGAGGTGCTGCTGGAGAGTGTTAAAATAGAAAGTCCATCCGCACTTAACAGTCAGGCACATAGGACATAATATATATTATAAGTAATCTCTCAAATGATCCCATTTCAATAACGAAATGAGTATTTTAATTCCTTACCACACTATAATGTTTCTTTTGTCTGAGAGTATTAAAACCTCATACACTGTGGAAAGGCACTCACTTTCGATTCACACAAATTGGGGAAGGTCCCCAAAATTAAGAGGGATATTATTCTATACTGAAGCAATGATAAAACTACCTAATGGCATGTAGCACTGCCCCAACACACCCCAACATGATGGTCTTTTTAACCACTGCTTTATGCACTGTGCACCTTAGTGCACCAGTGGTTACACCACAGCTATGTTAACAGAGCCCTCTAACGGGGACACAAGAGGACATCAAAAGGACTTCCCTTGTTGACATAATTGTATCACCTCCCCAGACGACACACAGGGCCAATAAAAACCACTCTGCCCACATGGCTGCGATCCCCCCAGACGCTGTGATCCCCCCAGACACAAGCTGGTGTGAGGATGCCTGTCGGGGAAAACGTGTTTCTTGTACTGTGCTGACAGACTGGAGAGAAAGGAGGAAAAGGGTTGGAAGGTGCTTCCCAGTACAGACCCAGCCCTGCACACAGATTTTTTAGGTGTTCAGTCAAAACCCTCCATTTCCAAAATTCACACATTTCTCCACTCTCTAAGGTCATACACATCATTACCCATTACATTCAGAAGCCGACTTAAAAGAAAAATGAGGAACATTCATTTTGCATTCAGCATTTTGCCAAAATTATGAGCAAATAATTTTTGGAGTTGGCACTGGATTGACTGGGAGTTTAGAGAGTTTCTACCCAGGCCTGGCTTGGGTAAATCCATTGGGAGGTTTGGTCTTTTTTGGGCAAAACTTGGTAACTACTAGTAGAAAAGCAATCTTTACATAAACCACAAGTCTGTACTTTTTCAAATCAAGCATGTGAGGTGAGTACATGCTTAAATCCATAATCTAGGATAAACAGTTTTGCATAAAGCAAGTAATTATTTCAAAACAGCCAGTTTTCCTGTTAAAAAAATGGAAAATTTATAGGTTTGTGTTTTGCTTTTTTATTACTCAAATACTCAAACCCTTGTTCTCATCTAGTTCTACTAATGAAAATCTGACTAAACAATCCAAAACAAATAAAACCCAGCATTACTTTAAATAAAAGTTCAAAATATATATCCTGACAGTTCCGATGTTTGAGGGTTTTAGTTCCCAAAGTAGTAATGATCTCCAGGAGTTAAAATAATATGATTATATCCCAACTCCATGGCCAGCTAAACCACAACTGAACTGCAGTGGCACATATTTCATTTTCAATGTCAGAAGATCTCCATTTCAGACTATCAACATAGCACTAAATTTTCAAATGTCACTGAAAACAGGTCACTTCTAATTTTGCCTGAAAATGCTAAATGAACCACTATACACAGTGCAGCTAGTATTTCACAAGTTAAATCTCTTCATCTTTACCAGGAATCAAAAAGGAAAGCTTTTTACTGTAAGTTATTTACTGTGTTGTCACTCCTCTGCAAACATGGGTTGTGGGAATTCTCGTTTTATTTTGAGGAAGGGTTGTATTAGAATGGAACAATACATACTTTTCCTGTGAGTCACTAAAATCGCTATTAGAAGCTTATCTTCTGAGCTACTACTTTGCTCAGTCTTGTAGGAGACAGACTCGATTCTTAATCTTGTCTTCCTGCTGACAGGAATAGGGAGTGCACAAAACTAAGCAATTTCTTGTAAGGAAGAAGGGAATGGCACCATTACTTAGGGTTACTCAAGAGAAGTTCCCTCCCGAAGATGGCAACCATGCCCGGTGGAGCAAGGGCGGGAACCAGCTGTGTTCTTACGTACTGCCAGGTGCGTAAGAAGATAACCTTTATCTCCTGAAATATCTTTTCCAAAATTAGTTTGGATATACTGTGTCTTACACAATTTTATTATTTCACTGGAAATAATTTCACCACCAATATGCCTTATCCAAGACTATGAGCAACTCCACATTTGTCACTGGTGCTACACATGAAACATCCAGCAACAAGCCTGCCCTTCAGGCAATAAGAAACACACACATACACACATGATATATCAGTACATTTCTTGCAGGGAGCAGGGGTGGGGTGAGGTGTGAGGGTCTCCCTTTAAGAGGAAGACATCACCACTGAAAACAGAACAGAAAAACAAACATAATACTGTGAGATGAAAAATTTACTTCTCTGCAAACAAATTGACTATAAACCTAAATAAAAAAATTATCCCAAACTGCACCTTTTAGAAGTCTAACACTCAATCATCAGGATGACAAAGACTGGCATTTAAAAGTGCTGTTAACCATCAACCTTGAGTAACAAGACTATTATGTTTGCCCTTAAGTACTGACAGTGGAGCAGAACCTCTGCACTTTTGTACCCTGGACATCTGTTCTTGAAAGAGAATTTAAAATTATCTTGAGAACTAGTAAAGTGCAATAGATTATTTCATGTGTTTAAGTTACCACTTCAATTACAGTATCTCCATGCAGTGGAAACCAAGTGTGGTAAGTGGCCAGGTGCCTACCACCATGAATGACACCTGGCTACCCCAGTCCAGCTCCTAAAGAACAGTTTGCAGAGCAAGGAAGAGATCTCACAGCTTTATCAAAACTGGATCATGTCAGTGCAGTCTCACCACGATGGCCTGAACTGATACAACACAACAATCGATCAACCACTCATGACCTGAGGCTCGCACAGGGATTTAAGAAGACATTTTCTGCTGTGCCAGTTTCCTTGGTAAGAAAACTTCCAAGTTTTCAGCGTGGCCAAATGGCGTTTTCCTCATCATTAAGCCCAGTGATGGCTTCCACACGCTGACTCACCCTGGTGTGCTATCCGCAGGGGCAGGAGTGGAACGGGAGCACAGCTGGAACTCTCCGAGAGAAAGCCGCTTTTAACTCTTTACCCCACAGCCAGTGAGGGGAAACACCCTTCCCACACGGGCAGCTGCGGCCACTCCTTCACAGGCAGACACAAACGCAAAGCAAAGCCTCGTACGAGATACTCAGCTTTAGAGTGAAAAACCATACCGCCGGGGCGGGTCGTTGAAGAGCCGAGGGTCAGCGTACACAGGGTTCACCACAGGATTTGCAAACAACCCGTTTTCCTGCCCGCACTGACAAGCGCATCTCTCCCCGCCCGCCCGGGAGACCGAGCCGTCCGAACCGCCCGGCTGAAGGCAGACGCCGCTGCCCTAAAGAGAGCCGAGCCCGCCGCGCCCCCTCCTGGCGGCGCGAGAGCGCGGCCCTGCCGGCGGCGCCGCTCGGCCGTCAGCCGCCATTTGCCTTCTCGAGCGCAGCTGGAACTGCTGCCTTTCGGCTAAGACGTTATTTCACCTCCCGTTTCGCACCGAGTTTCCTCTTCACAAGGCACCAGAGGCAGCCGCGACTTTTCCCGTGTTATTTCTGGCAGGCGTTTAGTCCCTCAGGTATTCTATATGCCAGTGGTGATGGGGAAAGATGGTAGGGAAGTGATACCGTATCAGAAGTACCACATTTAACAACACAATAAATACCTTGCTCCTCACAGGGAAGCCAAAGCAGTCAGTCAGAGCAAGTGACTGAGAGCGTGTCAGCCTGCCACGGAAACACGCTGCAAGTGCCACATGGAAGCCCTGGCTCTGTGACTGCAGGCCATAGCATTTTGAAGCAGGGCACACAAAATGGCTTCCTCATGAATGTGGCAGGTACGTCGTTCACCTGCACAGGAAAGGGGCATGCTGCAGCCTCGTTGCCACTCAGTACCGTTAAAACATTCCTGTTACAACTTAAAATGTTATCCGCTGCTTAAATACTAAGTGTGTCACTCCTCTTCAGCCATTTCTGTCCAGTCATTCCCTTCAAAACAAAAAGGCATTGAGATACTCCTACTTCCAATAGTTCTGATGTAGAGAAAACCTGAATCAGATTGAATTAAACTAAGCCTCAATGTGGTTGAAAGCCAGAAGTTACAGCAGGGGAATAAAGATTATTTTAAAAAGTGAACTGTAAGTTTAAAATAGAAAATAAATTCAGATAAGCCTAAAAGTGATGACACTGAGTAGAGATTTAAGGAAATCAATGAGCTTAATAATCAATGATTTAAGTCCAATGCATGTTTTCACACATCCTCTTTTTACTTTATTATCCCAATGAAAATCATGCTGTGTTAACAAATAAAAATGAATTTCCCAGTGCGAACACAAAGGAAATGCAGTAAGTTACCAATTCCTTTGAAATTCTAACTCTCTTTACCCTCACATAGAATTCAAATATAGACTTATTAATCAAATAGGCACATCAATGAATATGAAGTTAGGTTACTATAATAACTAATTTACGACAACAGGAAGACTATTCGCTAAAAAAGCTCACAAAACAGTCCATGCTTTGGCTATCACAGTTTTGCCTGATATTCACATAAGCTGAAGTGTCTGTACTTTCTTCATGTTTCATGTGATACAAAGCAGCAGAAGGGGACTGCACTTTTCACTGCACAGTTGAAACTGGTGCTCATGGTTCACGTAAGTCAAGCTTGGGAAGGCTTCTCAGCAGAGAAAGCTCATTTTCTGCTCAGAACATTTAAGATGATAAAGGGATCTAATAAATGCCCTGGCTATGTCAAAAATATTTTTAAAATAAGTTAGGATAGGACAAAATATACAAATGAGAATTTCAAACAAACAGTAAAATTTCTCCTTGCAGGGAATGTTGTATGAAGAAAATCTGTTCAACCATTTCTGCAGGTGAGCTTGAAATATTGTGTATTTCTGATGTCCTGTTAGAATGCAGACAAGCAAGGCCTCATTCCTAGCTCAGTACAACTTGAAAAGGTAGTAATGCAGTTATCAAAGTGTTGAACCACTAAACCATCAGTTATTTTGTTTGTTTGTTTTTTTTTTTTGTTACAAGTAATTAGAAGAACTTGGAAACAGGTAGGGGGGAAAGGGGGACATCACTGATGTTGAAAACTCGAGCAAGTTCTTCTCAGATCATGATACATGAGTATCTATAGTACGTATACCATTTCCCTAGTGTCTCAACGGGAAGATGCATGTTTCTGTAAACAATCCAACTGCTAATTTTACATGTACTTGCTGCAAAAAAAGTCTACTTCCTAAAGTGATAGTTTAGTACCTTCTAAATTCTACTATTACTACTAAACAGCAATTAACTCTTAGAGGTTGATAGCATCATCCATTTTTACAGCAATAAATACTAATACTGTTTTTATTCTGTACTGTTCCTTCCTCTGATCAACATCTGATTATGAAGTAAAAAGCACGTTATACATTTATCAAAATTAGGGATATGATAAAATGAAAACACTTGGTAGATAAAGGTTGTGATGATGAGTTTTATGACAATTTAATTAATTTAGCTCAATGTTTATTCAGCTATGCTGTTACTTATTGTTGGAGTCATTTTTAAAATTCTCTAAGGAGAATGAAATAATTTGACCCCAAAAGACGAACATTCTATACAAAGACACTTTCAACATTAAAAATAATTATTCTTAAAACATATTTTGATTATCATCTTACAACTGTAACTGCACATAACGGAAAAAAAGTAACATCACCTTTCTAAGTCTGTTACCTACATGCAACAGCAAATGGCTTCCCATTTGTAATGTTTCTCTCTTCTCAAGAAATAGCTTTAAAAGTTTAACCAAACTCATTAAAATGTTTCTATCAAACACTTACTTAAAAAGCTACGGCCAACTAAAAGGGTACTTGTTCAGAGGAAGAGCTTGTTTGGTTTGCTGTTTCTAAACAAACTATAAAAGAATCCATTTGGCAAAAAAAGCCCAACAAAACAACCCAAAACACCTTTCTAGAGGTTCAGCAGACACCTGCATATCAGCATCATGACAATATAACTGCATGCCTGCTAGGATTAGTTCATAATATTTAACTTAAACTGCTTTGAACTCTTTGTATTCAGGACTAACAGTAAATAAGCACAGTGGTTGGATTACAAGAGAAATTAAGACCACCAGCAAGAATACTCCTCTCCCTCAAAGCGTTTTCCCTGCCCCACCCAATAAGCCTTTTATATTCCCTGTTCCTCTTTCTGAAACATTTACCAAGGCTAAGTTAAATATCTATCTCTCCAGTTCAGATTTTAGCAGCTTTTAATATTCATTCCTTAATGCAGTGTCAGTGTGCTCACCTTTTGCTCTACAGAGTGGTATTGATTTGCAGTAAGCAGCAGAGAAATCCCTAGAAACTCCTCCATAATTTATTGTAGCTCTAAAGCTTTTCACTGTAGTCAGTAGACTACCTAATAACCCAGTCAAAATGAAGACCAACATCTTCTATGACAGACAACTGTGGGGAAGGTGGCATGAATTAGAGAGTATGGAAATAAACACCTTAAACAAACCACCTCAGTGGGAGACTGGCATTGTCTGTCTGCCAATGAACTGCACACAAGATGCTTAGAGAAGGCCCGTAACAAAGAAAGAGCTGCATATTTTTCTAGGGTTCCCATGTCAGCACCACCCCTGATGCCAGAAACATTAATAACTTTTCTTCTGCTTTTCTTCTTTCTGGGGAGGGGAAGGGAGTTGAAATCAAAACAAAGTATCTAAAGAAGATTCATTTTACTTCTAGTTGAAATTTGTCCATGCCAAGTACTGATGTAAAATGCTGGGGTTGAAGCTTTCTTGTTTTTGTTTTGAAAGGGTAAGAAGAGTCCTACAATTTGGCTGACCTGTAAAAAACTTCAGAGAATCCTTACTAAAGGCTCTCCACTGCATCAGGTCTGAAGCCAAGCTTGCCAAACTGATGAAATAATTAGCCTTGCTTAAATCTTTTCCTAATTAGGTCTAACTTCTTTACGTATTTGGAAAATACTTTACTAAATTCAATAACAAAAAATGTACCAGACTGACAGCTGTCAAAAAAATGCCCTCTGTATTACCTTGGTAAGCAGAATTCCAGTATGAACAGAGAAAATACAAATTTTTCTATTGTTATATCACTGGGATAACTACTTTCCAGCTTCCAAATCTGGAAGGCATGTACTGGCACATCATTCCAGTAAAGGATGAGTCCCAAATACTTCAACAACCCATTGCTATCTGACTTCAACAGAAAGAACCCTGGTAGAACGGGCTGCACAAGGCAGGCACAGGAAGGTACAACGTGCTTTAACATCCCTCAGTCTAAATCATCAGTGGACTAGAATAGAGGTGAATGACAGGAAACAGACTACACTAGTCATGATGCAGCCTGAGGTAGTGTCTGCTGGAAAGACAATAGTCCATTCTCCATGTCCATGCAATAAATGGCCTTCTCTCTGCAACTACCAGCTAAGATTATAAATCAGTATGTTTCACAATATTAAAAGCCACTCCAGCTGCAAAGGAACCAAGACCATAAATTCTTTTCAATGCACCTTTGAACAGCATCAGGCAGTAGCGAGGCTTTCCTGAAAACAGCTAGACAGCTGTAAAATAGCTGCTTCAAATTTAGTTTCTCTCACAGGAGATAGAAAAGATCTGTATGAACTGTTTAATTAACAGATCAAGCCAGCAAGACCCATGAGGAGAAAATTCAGCTCTTAAACAAAAGGTTTTAATTCTGTTTCTTGAAAAGATTTCATTTTATATTCTATGTGGCATTTCTGAATTAAGACAAAAACCTGGTTTGAAGAACATCTCCAAGTCTCTTCTCCTCATTGCTATTAATGCATGTGAAGTTAGCAGTTGGGGATACAGTTTGAGGTATTTTTCAAAAGGATCAGTACACTAACCAGAGGTCTTCTGGGGAATCCACACACAAGCTCTTTCTCACACAGACATGAAAAAGGTCATTTCTAATCAGTTTCTTTTCTCATATAAAGTCAGATGGCTCTTAATCTCCAGCTGATCACTTAATTTACCAGAAAGGAAAGTAACTATAACTACTTTTTTGCAATTCAACAGCAGCTGTAGTTCCCCTCATGTGTTTCCTATGCAAATTCCACCTCTGCTGTACAGTAGACCCGGTTATTTAAGAGCAAGTTTAGAGTAAAAAGGGAAAGGAACATCATAGTATCTGCCATGACCATTAAAGCATCCTTGAATTCTCTGGCTAACAATGATTAATAGCTGCAATTATTGCTCAGTGCTTTCACTGAGATGTCAACTCTGAATGTGAGAAGAGCATGTTATGAAATCTGAATGGATGTCATCAGTAAAAAAAACACAATTACTTTTCTTTAAGTCTTATGCTCAACATGAATCAAGAAAGGAGCCTACTAGCTAGCACAACGTCTGGAATAGTAGACTTGGAGATAGTAACAAGCTATGCCATGTACTTCTAAGACAGGACACCTGAGAAAAGATGCAAGAGTTTCATGGACTCTGGTGAACAGATTAGGAAATGACAGAATATTATATCATTCTCTGCATTTTACAGCAAGTCTGGACACAGTCCTAGTCTCCAGTGTAACCAAGACATTCTAAATCTTTTCTGTCCAGGTATAAGATTTTCGTGTAACAAGAATCAGCTTCATTCCTCCAGATATAAAGCAAAGATGAAACAGAACTGTCATGAGGCAACTGGAAAAATACTGCACACAAAGTATTAGTTCATAAATAATAGAGTGAATGTTCTACACTGGCTAGGATCAAAGGCTACAAGTTCCATTTCCAGCTCAGCCACAGACTGCTTAACACCACACCTCAACCCTTCTTCTGTTTGCTGTGGATAAAATACAGTGAGATTCCTTATGCTACATTACATTTGCTGGTATAGCTAAGTATTTATAATGAGATATGGAGCATAACTGTACTTAAAAATCTTGCCATAAACACTTTTCACAGTTTCAACAACAACAAAATGCCATTTGCCTGTATTATTATCAGCAGTATTAACACAGTCATACTTTACAATGTACCACTGTAAATAAAGACACAAAGAACTCAAGCTGTAAAGTACAACACTGAGGGGAAAATGCAAGAGATTCTGTCTTGTCAACATATATAACCTTTTCACTGCCTGTATGCAAACATTCAATGATCTACAAGTGCTTGGAGCCACCAAAACAGAGTGGTCGGGGTGGGTGGGGAGAATAACACTCAAACCCACCACTACCACCCTGAAAATCAAAAAGAAGCACTCAGTTTGAGTTCAGTGTCATGTTCCTGGCAAAATGTCTGCTGAAGCACTACAGAGATTTTTATGGGCCTAGAGGAGACACTAAAGAAATACAAACAAATCAATGAATACCAGCATTGAGAGATAAACAGTTTCAAATGCTTCGTAGTACTAGAATCCCTTTGCAGCCAGATTCAGTGCCAAGATGAAGACTTGGAAGGCTTCTGTCAGGCTATTTCCAATTACAGTGGTTTATGAAAACACAGGGGATACAGTACGCCTTGATGAGAAAAACCAGTGTGTATATAAGCTCATCATCCTTGAGCAGAAAGCACTGAGGTAAGTACTAGTTGTTAGGGATACGTCTGCATAAGTAATGGAAGTTATTGCATCTAACCTTCAGTTTTCATTTATTTCGTACTGGAGGGTGTGGGTGCGTGCACAGAGGTTTATGTTACAAATGTCTATCTGCCACAAAATATTGAAGTGTTCTTACATTGTATGGCTGAAAAAATGCCTTCGAGCAATGAGTTTAATGTAAACCCAGAGGAATCAAGTAGGATGATGCTTAGAAGCCTTTAGAAGACCTTGAAAAATGCACTGCTAATTGTTCTTTAATCAATTTGTGTATTGTTCAGAGGTTTAAAAACTATTCATTGATACGCAATAGATATAAGCTGCTTTGAACTGAGTACACACAATTAACTGTGACTAGTTTGCATGACAGAACAGATCCACAATTCATTTGCGTGTTCTTTGTGTCAACCAGCCTCTTATGCTAAGAGCTGTTTTTCTGGTTGCTGGTGCTATACTGGGGGGAAAAAATCTCCCAACCATTACTGATGACCTCATGGTTACTAAACGACACACACAACCTAGAAATACTATCATATTCTATATGTTCTCCTTTGTCTGTGTAAAAGAGGAAAGATTCTAAGCGCCAGAAGAGCCAATTATAAGAAAAAAACCTCTGAATCAGTTTTGGTGTGGATACCTGTTAATATAAGATACACATCTGTCCTGGGTTCAGCAGTAGCAGTCTTTTTTTCTCAGTCGCAGTAGCTGGTGCAGTGCTGTGGTTTTGACTTTTGGCCTGGGAACAGCACTGATAACGCTGATGTTTTTAGTTGTTGCTCAGTAATGTTTAGTCTGACCAAGGACTTTCTGAGTCTCATGCTGTGCAGGGAGAAAGCAGAGACAAGACACCTGACCCAAACTAGCCAAAGAGGCATTCCATACCACAGCACGTCATGTGCAGCATGTAAACTGAGAGTTACCCAGGAGGGCTAGCTCACTGCTGGGTTGGGCTGGGTATCGGTCAGCGGGTGGTATTGTATTCTCTTCCCTTGTTATTTCCCTTATTATTATTATTACTGGTGGTAGCAGCAGTGGTTTTGTGTTGTATGTTAGTTACTGGACTGTTCTTATCTCGAACAGTGGGAGTTACACTCTTTCGATTCTCCTCCCCAACCCTCCGGGAGCCAGGGGAAGAAAGGGTCGGGGGTGGAGGGGAGTGAACTGCATGGCTGACTTGCTGACAGGGTTTAAACCATGACAACATCTGAAACCAGGTGTGTGGTTTTGTTGTTTGTGGTTGTGGTGTTTGGTTTGTGGAAGGTTGTAGGGTTTCTTTTTGTTTGCTTGCTTGTTTTTTTTTTGTGTATGTGGTTTTTTGGGGGGAGTGGTTGGGGTTTTCTGCTGTTTTCCTGGAGGAGTTGTTTGTTTGTTTTTTGAAGTAAGTTTTAATTTCCGTAAGAAAACTCATAGCTGTTAGTAGGAGATAGTCTCTGTTCTGTGAGGTAAATCAGCTCCTGAAAAAGCTGGAGGAAACCCCAGTTTGCCAGATCTGGAAATCAGTCAAGTGAAAATTCTGGATTCCCAGATTTTTATCCCAGTGAAGCCAACTTAACAAGTTTGATATATCAAGACTATGTACAGAGAGTTTGGAAGCTATGGACCTACAAAACTCAAAGCTCGTGATTTGAAAAGCACTACATTAAATTAAAACCTTAGCCTGTTTCCTTGGACCTCCATCCTCATTTAAACCCAGGATTGAAATACTTTTCCTCTTGTCTCCTTGCTTGTCAGCAGTCCATAAAGGTAGTTTGTGCTTATATGCTTATGTTGGTCAAATGAAAACAGAGAAACAAGAGAGAAAGCCTTTCAGTTCCCTCATCTTGGAGCCCAAGAGACTCCAGCAGCCTATAAAGCTGTTTCACAAACAGCCTTTCACAGACTCCAAGAATTTTTAGGTACTTTTGCTTCTTTATAATCTCTTCACAAAGATCTACTAGGCTAAAGCAATGAACAATTTTCAGAGACCTGTAACCTGGGCAAATTTGAAGTTTTCATTAAAAAAAAAAAAAAAGTCTTCTTTGTCCTCTGTTAAATTCTAAAACTTGCTCCAAAACCAGCAATACAGATCATCTGAATGATAGGGGGATCCTTATCTTTCAACACTTTTTTTCCTTTATTTTCTTTAAAAATCACATGGAACTTTTTATTTAAAATTACAAACAAAGTAAGTATCCAAACACAGACATGGAAACAGAAACACCAGTCCAAATGGTTTAGATGTGGAAAGGGTAGAATTAAAAACATTTTCGAACCAGAAAATTGAAGTTCATTGAGAGGTCTTGCCACAATGTCTTTACAGATCTCAGGTGGATCAGTGTTTAAAAAGTTACTAGCTGAACAGGTACAGAAGAAAGAACTATCATAAACAAATAGCCTTACTGACAAAACAAGAGCATCTTAACCACATGAACACGGAAGAAGATACTATCTAGCTGAACCTTTCTTTCTTCTGCTCTTCTAAGTACTTCTTTAACCCCACTCCTTTACTTTGAAATAAACCAGCAGATTATTTGAAAAAATAACCTGCCAGGAAACTTTACACCTTACCTATTTAACAGAAGCCAATCTCTGAAAGGGAAAACTAAACCCTTCCCAGTTCAGAATTTTGCAGCCTTTGGCACCATCAACATTTATTTCTTGTTCTAGTTTTCCAGATTTCCTTTAATGTTTTGATCGCTTTGTTTTCTTTTTTTTTGCAAGATCCATAATTTCAGCTACCTCCATGCACGCCATCTGAAACATTCTTTGAAGTACAGAGTTTACAAAGGGAATCAGTGAAGATGAAATGAACAGCAAGTTCTTAGATATATGTGATTTCTGCTCTCAGCTGATGGTTATTTTGTCTTCACAATCAGCTGCACTACTACTTCTGCAATATCAGTATCAATTCAACTCCTTTTAAAAACAGCTGGACTCGTATTAAAGCTTTAATAAGGTTCCCAAATAATCTGCCACAGAATAGAATTTACCATCATCCACCTATATACAGGACGGATGACTGAAATTAAAGTAATAAAAGAAAATGGGGGAGGGAAGGAAGAATGTAATAGACTAATACGGAAGTAGTATTTTGAATAGGATTTTTGGTTACATGTAGAGATTTAGCTAGGAACTATATTATATCTGTAATTCCAAAATCACGGCACATTTGTTTTTTTTTGCAAAAATCACTGCTTCAGTTAAAAAAATAACGCTTTTAACAGTTATTTGGATACTCTGACCACACACATACACAAAAACCTTTTTAAAGAAGTCCTTAAAAAAGCATATACTCCTAAAACTAGTTCAAGAGCATCAAGACATTTTAAGCTAGGAATGTCAGCCTACTGAAACAAAACAGAACTGCCGAAAAACACTAGTCCCAGAAGACTGTTGCATCTTCCAGGTGGCAGTAAATTCTTAAACTCTCATTATGGTGAGTAACATGGAGGTTCTCCCATGTTCTCAGCAATATCTAGCCATAAGGAAATTTTCACTCCATTGGACAAGCAGCAGTATTTCTTCTCCCCTGCCCCAAGTCACATATTCCCAACTATTTCTGTGAGAACTCCCAGTTTCAGGAATTGGTACATTCAGTGATTGATGCAGTCTTGCTACAACTGGAACTTTACATATCTGATGAGCTACTGGCATTTGGCTCAAGAGTTCAACCAGAAAACACTGCTGTACATGAGAACTGCTATAACTCTTCTTTATTTTACCCATTCTAATGTGCCTCTCTTTGTCTCTCTCCCTTCCCCCCCCCCTCCAACCTCTTACGGCAGCTGTGCAGCAGTTACTTTTTAACTTCAGGGGAAATCTGGAAATCTGAAGACCAACAAAAAATGACCTACAATAACAAAATTCAAGTCTGTATCTGACCTGCCAAATGCACAGGTACTTTCACCAAAAGACATGCCATCTATTTGAACTCTCAAATACTGCCAGGACAAAAAGCAGCTTGCCTGTTCAGATGAGCAACCAATCTCTTGAGACTTAAGAGATAAACCAGACAAAATGCTGGACAGGAACAAAAGGTACAGTAATAGTGCAAGAGCTGGAGCCGTGGATAAGAAGACAAGCAGGAGGAGGAAAAGTCTTTCTGAATTTAGTAATTCTGCAAAGCCAAATTTAACTCATAAAAGTAAACCATTTGAAGCTGAGCATAAAATTTTATCCTTCATTCCCTGTGACTTCTGGAAATCACAGAGTACCTCATACTAACTTTAAACTGCAGAACGTATTGTGGAAAAACTGTTCTAAATTTGATACTTTCCCCATCACAAGTCTGGAAAGAATGTAACTATGCAAATTCAATTTACAGCATGCTATAGATAGGGATACATTTCCGCATGTCACACTGAAAACTGTCTCAGCCTTTGTTGCTGTTTCCTGCCTAGGGTGTGAGAGAGTAAGCAATACTACCCAAAACCAAAATGAACTCAGAAGTAAGAAAGGATAAGATATTTACAAAACAATCTCCCAGATATTCTAGACAGCTACTAAGATTGATTTGTTTTATATGCTATAGCCTCTGGCATAAGCTTAAAAGAACAAATGGCTTGATCCTGCAACCCTTCTTCACACAGCTTAATCTTACTGCCTTTGAGGAGTAACATACATGATAACAGGATAAACAGTGGAAGCCCTGAGATCAAATAACTCAGACAGACAGATACCAAAGTGAAAATGGTATGAGAAGAACTGATTCTAACTGATTAAGAAGTAGGTGTAATTAGGACCAAAGACATTTGTTTTTAGAATTCTTGTGATGCATTACATTCATCATTTGGGCTGTCAGGCGATGATGACAGCATTGGCAGCAGAACACAGAAGATGAAGTTAGAGAACACTCTTATCAGATGCTCCCACTCTTTGAAATTATCATGGCAGCAGTGGCAGACAGACTCGGGCTGCCCTGTGAAATTGGGTGCTGCCTTCTACAAGCTGAAAGCCAGGCAGCACCATAGCATATTGGTAACAGCATAGTAAAAGTTCAGCTT